AGGTCCCGTTGCCCCTTCCCCCGGCGAGGCGGTGGCGTCCCGGTTTGCCCCGTGAGGCGGAGCGGCGTTTGGCTGCTGGCTCCAAGGTCACCGGCCTCTCCAGCACCTGCACCGCAGCCCCGCGGTGATAGCGCCCGGAGGGCGGGAGCTCCCGGCAAGGTACTGAGCAGCGTTATCGTCGGGACACACGGTCGCGACGTGGGCACACAGCTTCTCCCGTGCTCGGTTTGATCTTCCTCTCGGGATTAAAGAAAACCGCTCAGAACTGTAAAAATAAAGCAAGTGAATTTCTGAGGAATTATTTCCACCGTAGCAAAGCGCTTTGAAAACAAAGCATTGCGTGTAAGGATCTAGATCTCATACTGCCAAAAAACTGTAAAATAACTAGATTTGGTTTTAATGATACAGACGGTTCTGCAAAGATGTTTTTACTGAACGGTGAACATGTATTTTTTTTGTTTTAGGAATGCAGTAAAAAACAGAAAAATGATGATACACAAAGTACATCTGTTGATGCATTGAGTTCAAATGATGGTTTTGAAGAGGTAATATTCCTTCTAAAAACTGTGATATACTCTTATTTGTATTTTTTTTGTTGTCTACCCCAAAGGAGGTTATAAGTAGAGAACTTTCAGGTACTAAATATAACACTAATCAACAAGCAGTTGTAAGCAATTATGATCACTTCTAGACATCTCATAACAAGTGAATCAAGAATCTTTTAAAATGATGAAATTTTTAAAAAAAGCCTTACTATGCAACCACAAACCCAAAAGTGAAGTTCTGAAAAAAATTTTTTGAGTGTCAAAAATCTTACATCAAGTCTTCAAAACAGAGGCAGGGCTTGCAAGGAGAATAGAGGGGTTTTGAGAGTACAAATGCACAAAAGTGTTATTTTTTTTATATTAGCTATCTGTTTCCCTGGAAATGGGATCTTAATTGAGGGATTTTTGTTCCCTTTTTTTGCAAGTAGTCTGGTTATGTTGCGCTTCTATCTAAGTATTCCGTCTTCCTACAGATGAGCTGCCAACGGTATTGTAGCCAGAAGTGTGAAACTCCTGATCTTACAGTATATGGTCAACATAATTGTAGGACTGCGTTCTGTTTGGTTTACCTCGTGGTGAAAAGCCAAAGCCATCGTGCTGTTAGAGAGGCACCTGGCTGTTAAAGAGGTTTAGTAGTTCAAGTAAAAGTTTTCTTGGTTGCTTGGTAAGTTGATGGGGACTGTCAGCTCTGAAATGCAATGCAAATCGAGTTACTAGAACATAGACTACAGGCTAAATTTAGATCTGTGTTTACACTTAAACATTTTGCAGTTTCACAGTAATAATAGCAGAGCCATGAAGAAGGATGGAACAAATGATTTTGATTACTTCTAAATAATCTTGGATGTTATGCAAGTGTTGTGGATTGTCTTGTTTTAAATAAAACACTGAGAGCATGTTTGCTCTTCAGCTGGGTTATTGCAGGGGTCTTGAAAATTGGTTGATCATTATTAAATACTTGTTTACTTTTTTTTTTTCCCTGCAGAAAAATGAGTTTCATACATTGGCTAATGCTAAAATTCTCCTTAGTGACTGCCTAGCTTGTGATAATTGTATGACATCAGAAGAAGGAGCCAGAGTTTTCCAACAGAATCAGAAGGAGCTCTTTCGTATTCTTAACCTTAACAAGGTAAAGTGACACAAACACTAGCATGCTGTTTTCTGTGAGGAGGAGGAAATTACAGAATGACTAAGCAGCTTGGTTTGCCAAGGCAGATAATGTGAAGATTTATCAGGATATACTTTGTCCAAAGAGGAAGTGAAAACTTCAGGCAAGATGAACATTAAAGCATTTTTAACTAATTTTGCACTAGAGATGCAAGATCGTGGCACTTAACATAAATACTAGGGGAACGTTACTGCACCTGCAGAAGTCAAATCTTTGGAAAATGTAACTACCTCATTACTGTAATAACAAATTAGTCTGTGATTCAGTGTTTATAAATACTCATACCTTCGTTACTAGGACTGTTCTGGATGCTTTTGATGCCAATGTATCCGCATAATACAAAGTTATCAAGGCATGGTTTTGAAGTAGAATTGCTTTTAATGTATATTTGAGCTGACTATATTTGGACCAGAATTTTTTGCCCGCATTCTTAGCAAAACTTACAAATGTGTTCTATTGCTGTCTTATTTTCTGCTGAGATCTGGATTTCCTGGAAGCTAGTTGCTATGTGTGGTGCTCAGATCTTTAGATCTTGATACTGAATTAATTATTTTAGTTCTGCTCCAGACTTTTGTGTCCTTACTTGGTATGCAACAGCTACCAGAATTGATGCTTTTTCTTAATCTGCACATAAGTGTCATAAATAAGAGGATCCATTACATAGTGATTCAATTTGCTTGGAACTAGTTTAACTCTCCATACAGTATAATGTTGTTGTACATAAGAAAAAGAGAAGAAAGCGGGGGGAGAGGGAATCTTTTGGGTCACATGGGTCCTATTAGGAGAGCTTGAAGTCCACAACAGGGAGGCAGCCAGGTGCCTTGATCAGAACTTCAGGGGTCCAAAAGAGGACAGTGAGCAAGAGAGGTGCTTTCCAGGCAGTCACGAGCTCTGTTTGAAGGGTCGTTGTGCAGCATTTAGGGTACAAGCTATGCTCTCTAACCTTTGTAGGGTGGGATTTGTCTGTGGCATAGTCCTGGTTTGTCTTTCAAGGGTTCCACTGATATGGAAAATGCCCCAACTAAAACACAAGGTTCATCTTCAAACAGACGTCTCTGTCATCAGTGCTTTACAATTGCATGCCATCTTGGGTATTTTCCAAGGGTTCTTCAGTGCCTACAAACACTGATTTGTTGAGGGTCCTACCTTGCCGGTTTTCCTCAACAACTTCACTGACTGACACAGGAGCCTTAACAAAGGGTTGGATCTGTAATTTGCTGGGTTGGGTTTGTAACTTAAAATGCCCATACTCCTGTAAACATTAGTTTATTTATTAATGTTTAAACATACAGAGGTTTTTTCATACTTGCTAGAATGTTTCATATTGCTGGACTGTCATAGGTGCTGAATGTCTTAACTTTTCTTATGCCATTAGGAGACCAACCACAGAATTGTCCTAGGAGGGATGGATTTCCCCGAGTTATATAAAAGAAACATCTACAGGTGATTAGAGATGAGCACCGACAGGACATCCCGTCCTGCCCTCAGGAAACTTGATAGTTGTTTCATAGGAGTTTTAATGATATGTCCCACTGAAGCATAGGACATGGAGGAATAACTCCAGGAGTGGAAAAGGGAAGGAAAGTAGGGAGCCGTACCTTGTTGTAATTGCGTACCTTTTTTTCTTTGTTTTTGTTTTGTTTACCAGAAATGTGATACCTCAAAACACAAAGTGTTGGCAGTGTCTATATGCCCCCAGTCATTGCCTTATTTTGCTGCTAAATTCAGTATCTCTGTGAATGATGCAGCCAAGAGACTCTGTGGTTTCCTCAAAAGTCTCGGTAAGTTTGGGTTTGTTACGATGGTGAAGCAGAAATGGGAGATTATTTTAAGTTTTTTGCTTCTTCAGCAGAATTGTTTGTTATACAGTCATAAAGTGCCATTGCACAATCTGGTTTAGAGTTTGAAATGTGCACTCTGAGATATTAATGACAGTGCACCAGTATGACAGACCAGTTTCAGAAATGGATTGGTGGAGGTGCTACCACACTGATAGTAAAGGTCACAGAATAGAAGGACACTACAGAGCTGTCTTCAAAACTGTCACTACCAAGAAATCGGGGAGGATTTGGTCATGTGCTTCAATAAGATTTCCCCTTATTTTGTAACTCGAGGGAGGAGGGAATTGTTATCCTAAATGCCTTCCAGTCCTTTTGACACATTATATCTCTAGAAGATTCTCAGTTCTGTTTTTTCTGTAACTTGAAATTACATACAAGAACTGCTGAATCTGCCTATTTTATGTTAAAGCTATATTTCCTTTGCCCTTTGTGCTACATATACAAAGTTTTATTTAAACAATAAGAAAACCTATGCCTATAGTTTTGGGTGCTTTTGATGTATGAGAGGGAGGAATGAAAAGGATAGTAATAAACCTTTAAACTGTTTCTTCCATTACATTTTTTGCATGTTTCATAGTCTTTATGCATCTCTGTACCCAGTGTATTTTCTTAATCTAAAAGGAATGCGAAGTTCTGGTGGGCCCCAGTTTTCTTAGAATGCGTTAATTATCTACACCTCACTTGCTGCGGGGACGCACTCCGTAGTACGTAGGCATATAGGGAGTATGTTGCTAAATAAGCAGACAGAAGGTCTCTGCTATGTTGGTGATAGGCTCGTGCACCTTTGCAGACAACTTCAGCGATGGAAGATATGCCTCTTAACTGGATGTATTTTTTTTTTTTTCTGTGGAGAATGATACATGACTTCAGCATGTCTTGAAAAGAATGCTGCTTTTCGGGAGTCACTGCATATAGCCCAGGAGTCGCAAAATCCCATTCAATTAAACAAAAAGCAAATATATGCAGAATGGCAAGCTTCTCATAAGGAAGCAGGCCACTATTTGACGTGTTGCTAGTCAGCATTAGCAAGTTGATGGTCCTTTAAAATTCATAACATAGAAGATAGTTTTTCAATGTGTGGCTTTTATTTTTGACTTTACTATTTGTGAAAGTTTGGAGAGGGAAAAGAATATACTTACTGATCCTCCAAGATTTTCTGTAGACCTGGAACTTGGAAAGAAGCCTGTGAGATGGAAATCATTCTAGTAATTCACTTTCCTTACTGCTTTCTGTCATAGGGGTGCATTATGTATTTGACACCACTATAGCTGCTGATTTCAGTATCCTGGAGAGCCAGAGGGAATTTGTGCAGCGGTATCAACGGAGGAACCAGGAGGAGCATGCCTTACCAATGTTTGCCTCTGCTTGCCCCGGTGAGAACTGATTTCTCCAACCTTCCTGCACTTCAGCCTAGTCTCCTTGGAACTACCAGGGAACTAAGGAAAGGGTGGTTTCATTTGGGAGCCTTAGATAACTTACAGCATTTTGGCTTTGCTTTTGAGAGATACCAAATATCACACACACTACTTGTTTCTAGTCGCGCTGATAATCCTTAGTGTGTTTCAGTGCCTTGCTGCACGGGCCTGTTTTTTCACGGGCTGTTGGGAGAGCAGAATTTGTTTCCAACAGGCATCATCAGCTTTCCCATATAGAAAAGCCACAGCCATAAATGTGAACCATCGGGTGTGAACTGGATAAGGCATGTGGTAATTCAGTGTAGGGCCTTACACAGTCAAATACAAAGGTTGCAGTAAATTCCCTACCTGCATCTTAGAGTTGTCTTCTGTTGGAACTCTGTATAAAGTGAGGAGTGTAAATTCTATTGTTGCGCTTAAACCAGCCTTGCTGTAGTCCACAGCCTCTGATTATACAAAGAACCTGAGCTTTTCCTTTCCTGTGCTAGTGTTTATACGTGGTATTCATTAGTCAGTTGTATTTCCCATCACTTCTATTAAAGAAGCATAGATGATGTATGAACCTCTGGATAATGAAATTGGGTAGAGAAGCACTGTGGGTTTTAGTGCTTTGTGTAAGACCTTAGGAGAAATTAATCAGAACTGGAATTGAGGAGTTAGTGGCTGCTGCTTGCATGTCCAGACCACAAAGTTTAACATGGCATTTCCTTATTGAAAAAAATCTTCAAGGAACTTTGATAAATGATATCATTAAACCACAACCTGTGTTATCTTAAGCAAAGTTTTGAACTTGCCACTTAAGCCTAGGAGAAAGTAGCAAGTGGCATTACTCTTAATGACTGTGAGATGATTATGTCTAACACTTAAAAATAATTCCCACTTGAAATGTCACAGACTTGACTCACTCAATGTCTCACTTCTGAGAATTTTGCACCTGAGAACTTGTTCTGTTATGAAAAGAACCTGCGCTTAACACAACTGAAAAGCTGCAGAACATTCAGTCGTTGTTTACTTTTTGCATTTGTTAGCCCACCATCATTCAGTTTAAGTATGATAAGTCACGTTCCTAAAAAAGAAGTATCAAAAAGGAGTTAAAATAACTCCTTTGCCTAACTCCTGCCTCTACTCCACCCTAAAGTATGGTGGTGTTTTTCAAAGGCTAATAAAAATACAACAGTATTTCTTTCTAGCTTTGAAATAACTTGTGGATTGCACTCTTCAGAGAAATGTTACAGTGACAAGAGAGTGAGTTAGAGTTGTGTTTGGTGATCCCCAGAATCTACTGTTGTCACTGATTTAAAGTTTAAATACTGCTATTTGAATTATACTTGCACTTTTTTTTGTTCTTTGTATTCTGTAGTGGAAGTATCTGGGTTACACTTTAGGAATTACATATATGTGTTAAAAGTCTCTTTTTGTTATCTTAGTGTTACCTCATATCTTTGGGAGCAGACACACTATATGTTGCTTTTTTTTCCCCCATGTAAGACCTGTGAAGTTGAAACAACCCCCATTTGTCTTGTTGCACATGGTCTATTTAAAATTCAAAACCTGAGGATTTCTTTTAGAACTACTTCCGAGATAATTTTCATTTTCTTCATCTAGAAACAGAGCTCAGATTATCTGCTGCTCTCATTGGAAGTATTCTGAAATACTTAGGGGAGCACTCTTCTTGTCCTTGTCTGTTCTACAAAAGATTGTTTCTGTTTTCAGCACCAGTTAGCTGTCTGCTGTGGTGTAGATGTTAGCAGAAGCATGGGTGCTTTCCATTTCTGGAAAACCGAACCAAAATATCGCTGTAGACCCATTCTGAAAGCATATGGTATTTCATTCCTATTGACAGCAATTATGGGGAGGGGGATGGTCGTGGTGGTGTGTGGGAAGTCATGATTGGTCACCTTTAAAGGTTGCTCACTATGTTTCCTGACTTTGAGTGCATTTTCTGTTCCTCATTCTCCTTCCTCTCTCTACTCCCAGACTATATAAATTTGTCCCAGAAATGTTGCTTACTGGGTGTGTTTATCACAAAAAGTTTTTTATATAGCTCTGTAGATATAAGGTCAACGTGAACTCAAGTAAAACTGCCTTACTCTTATTTATCTTTGGCTAAAACTTCCCACAGAAGTACCACCCTCTGCAGGAGTGGTCTGTGGTATAAAATCTACCATGAACAGAAGAGCATAGCCCCTATAGTCTCAGAACCTGACAACAGGGCGTTTTATTGTTTCTATCTTAATTGTTCTTACCTCCTCCTACTGCTCTTTTTAAAGAAAATGAGATAATTTGGGGGGTTAGGGGGGGTCCCTGTTGAAAGTACAACAGTGTAACTACTGATTGTATATCTAATATCCTATAAATAGTCAGTTCTCTTCCTTAATTTACCAAACTGGTAAGCAACATGAAGCGCTTGCTCTGGGAACCAGTCAGCATTTTTAATGCATTGCCAACCTCTGTGAACTCCTAGAACGTGTCAAGGAGGCAGGCTTACAGCATAAGTAGGAAGAGCATAACTATTGAGAATTCAAATGCTTTTGTCCCAGTCAACTAAACTAATTTCCTTTTACAGGAGTGGGGTTTTACCATAGCAAAAGTTTTCTTAGTTTTTCTGCACTTTATACTGATGTATAGATATTTACAGCGTGCATCTTTGTGATCTACTCACAATAAACCACTAAAAATAACGTGTTCTGAGGTACATCTGTAAGAATTTATACGGTGATTTGCAGGGGTTTCTTGTTGTTCTTTGATGCTAATGCAAGCCACCAAATGGCCCAGAATCTGAATGAATTTCTGAAGGGTATAGGACTGTATGGGTACAGATGTACATTGATATAAGGTATCTTAGGCTTCCTGTAACTGTGGGTCTGGAATTCAGCCCTGCTGATGAGTAGGCAGAAGCAACTAGTGCGTTTGTGAAGTGCAGATAAACACCTCGTGTGGCTCATTCACCAAGGCTGCTTGTATGATTAAACAGTGACTAATGGTCATTGCGGAGCTGGAACTACTAAGACACTTGTTCCATCTACTGCAAGGGAAAAAACAATTTAAGAAATTGCTTTGGGTGATACTGCCAGAAGTCTCTTGGGACTTAGTGAAATTTTCTTACAATTCATGACTACAATATCTAAAACATTCCAGTTCTGAAAACTAGCCTCATAGTGGGAATGCTCTGGTGATTAATGGTAGTCATAGTTGCAGTATAAGGGAAATACCTTTCAGAAATGCTGCTAAAGTACAAGGCAGAATGTTTTTAAAAACTGCTTTTTTTGTTTGAAGTAGGTTTTGTTCTATTTTGACACTTGATACTAGAGCCATTTGAGAAATAGGATATATGTATCGTGCACAATATGCTAATATGGCCTTTGTAACAAGCACCAATAAATTAAGTCCTTTGTTGCAGGTAATGTCTTGAAGTCCTGGTTGAAGTTGGATATTAAGCAAACTTTCTATACAGAGTCTAGCAATCCAGCGAGGTCCTGACATGTAAAGCTACAGTCCCTAGCCTTTTCTACAACTGAAACGAATGCTCGTTGACAATATCTTTGAGATTTTCCATGGAGACCAGTATCTGCTAATCTCAAAGTCTGTACTTAAACAAGAATTGGGAATATTAAACAACTGGAGGATCCTCATGTTTCCCCAATACTTATACTTTCTCATTTTTATCAGTAAAATTTTATTACACTGGGAAAACCACTTCTCTGCCATGCAGTGCCAAATCATCTGAATACCACTGAACTCCAGTTCTGTTGTTGGCCTTTGTGGCAGCATCCTGACTTGCACATTTGTGTAACACCTGGTAATGTGGAATTATAGTTAATAAGAGTTAACCTGCAGGTTTTACCTTTCCTGGGCAGCACGTACTTCACAGCAATTTTTCTCTTTTATGTAAACACTAATCTGTTTGAAGATAAAAGACTTAAGTTTTCTATTTTTCACTATTTCTTAGCACCAAAAGCAACACGCTTCCCTAGAAGGCAGGGTCTAACACTTCTGTACAATTTAGGTATCTGGTTCTCAGTTCATGTAGCTGAAGGAAAAACTTCTGAATCCTTGCCGTGAAAGATTCCAGGCTGTTGTTTTCAGTAAGAGTAACAGTGCCTAACAAAGAATTGCACACCCTAAATATCTTAATCTGCTCATTTGTCAGTTCCTGTTTTGGAAGGTAGGGAATAATAGAACTGCTGTGGGGTGGTGTGGATATACATAGCCTGTCATAGCTAAATGCTGAAGGAGCCTGGTGAAAAGGAGGGGGACTTTGAGAAAGTTAAGACAGAATGTTGAATACAGAGAGATTTCAGTTGATTACTCTTGTGTGTAGTTGAGTGTGTGGGTGTTTCTAAAGAAGGTGTGGCTACTCTAACAATAGTAAAAGAAGCCATTTTTTTCCAGGCTTAATCCATGTGCATCTTGTGATAATGCTTTCATGTGACTCTTCTGTTCTAGAGGTGGCAAGCTGGGTATGTGGATATTAAATCTCAGGAAACAGAAGGTTACAGTTAAGCAGCTGAACAGAGTACATTTGTTGTAGTATCTGGTGATCTGAGGGCTGAGGTCTAGAAAGTCAACTTACTCTTTGTTGGCTGGGGTCCTGTTCTTTGGGCTGTGTTAAATCTGCGTATTAGAAAGGCTGTAATAGGTCATGAGGTTCATGGTGACTTCTAGGCCTGGAATTAATGACACAGTGAATTATTGCTAGCCAACTGTAAAGCATTATTACCAGAGCCTTGAGGTTTCCTACAGTTCCCAAGGTGGGGCTTCCAGCCTACACAGAAATGTCCTACCTACTGTGAAGGTGCCCTCACTTTTAAGAGCTGTTCTATAACTGCTGCCACTTTGCCATGCTTATGTGCTGCTTCACTATCTAACATTGATTTTCTGTCATTCTAGGTTGGATCCGGTATGCTGAAAGGGTACTTACCAATCTTGTGACCTCTCACATTTGCACTGCAAAGTCTCCACAGCAGATCATGGGCTCCCTGGTGAAGGGCTACTTTGCCAGGCAGCAGGTAAGTAACTGTGATTTATTTTTACCATTTTACTCTTATAAAAAGATGGACTAGTAGGTTTTAATACTGAAATACAGATCTTAGTATATTATAAAGTGATAAAGCATCTTCCTGAATTGTTTGTCCTTTACTTGAAGAATAAATGGTGCTCTGCTGCTATACAAGTGCCCACGATAAGAAGAATGTACAAAGAGCCTCATTTCATGCAAAGCAGTGTGAGCTGGCAGCAATCCTTGTGCTCCCAAGTGCAACACGGAGTTAGATATTTATGGATAAAACTAAATACAGGGTAGCTAAAGAGATTCTTGTTAAATGCTGCCTGTGTAGTTCTATAGCACAACCAAAACAGGAGCAGAGGGGAATAATGTAGAAATTGCCCTGTTATCTGGGATCAATAAAAGCACTGTATCCTAGAAACTAACCTTAATTGTCTCAGTTTTGTCTGTTGAAAATGTTGCTGTTCTTTTTACATGTCATTCCTAAATGTAACTGCATCCACATTATAGAGGAAAGTATTGCTGTCTTCACATAGATGGAGAAATATTGATGGACTTGCTGTGGATGAAAGCGAATGAGTGACAGCTAGAAAACAGAATTCCCAAGTCCTGACTTGCATTCACTTTCTAAGGCAATCAAAAGCCACAGAAAATGTGGTCTGAAGGAATAAGTAAAAGTTTCAGCCAGAAGACTGACTCTGGATGTCTGTTGCTGATGCTTTGTAACATCTGGCAAATCACTTCCATCTGTGTGCAGCAGTCTTTAAATTTCATTGCTAGTATTACCTGCATAGAGTTTATGATACTATTTTCATCCTTCTCATCCTTCACGCTGTCTTTTGCTCTTCATGTTCACATGTGCTCTCTCCTGTGTTCCACAGAACTTGTCTCCTGATAAAATTTTCCATGTAATTGTGGCGCCTTGTTACGACAAAAAGCTGGAAGCTTTGCGGGAAGATTTCTACACTGCCTTGTATAATTCGCAAGAAGTTGATTGTGTTCTGACATCAGGTTAAATCTTCTTTAAACTTACTATTTATAAAGATTTAAGTGAATCACAATTGTTAGAATAGCCTTTATGCCAGACACTGCTTTTTTCCAAGTCTGCTTTAGTTGTAGGGTTGGCTTTTTTCTGCTTTAAAAATAAGTACAGAGTTTTGTGCTACTGGTAGTATAGGTATTGTATAGGGAAGGCAAAGCGAAAAATGCCTGCCTTCTAAGTTGGTATTCATCTGAAAACAAGTTTCATGTATTTGTTTTTCCCAGCTTCTTGAGAAAGGTAAGAGTTATGCACATCCATATTAAAAATCATTGTCTTGCTTGTCCGTGGTCATTAATTAATCTCCACTGGGATTACATGTATCATTCCAAATGTTCGGCACCAGTGGCTCTTTGGTGTGGCTCTTCTCTTTAGGCTTAACGTCCAAATTGCCTATCCACCTTTTTCCCTTGTGGTGTAGAAGCGTCTTTGAAACTTCACTGAACAGAAAGGCTCAGGATAGCATTATGCAAAGCTTGGAGCAAGGTGAAGGCCCTTTTCTTCAGGGCTGGAAGTGTCAGGCTCCTCAGTTACTGGAGGGAACTGACTCTAGTAAGAATGGCAGAATGTGACTGTAAGCACATCCAGATGTTGGGATACTGATCTCTTAAACAGGCACAGCATGTGCATTTTGCTTTGTGTTAGAAGTAAAATGTCATATGTTTTCCTACAGGTGAAATTGTCCAAATAATGGAACAGAAGAATGTGTCTATGAAAGATGTGACTGAAGTAGCTGTAGATAGTTTGTAAGTAGTTTTTTTGTGGATTACTTCCTTATTTTGATGACAAACGACAACACATTTGAGCATATTCAACGTAAAACTTCTCAAAAGAGTTTTTTCTTTTTAAAGGAAAAAAGCCTCTATCAAAGCCTGAGTATACTAAAGCCTCATCCTTTATATAGTGGCCAAAAAACCCCAAAGTACTCTTAGATGTTCATTGCTATATATAAAAGTAATATGAAATAGATAATAGAAAACTCTATGTACTGTCTAAATACAAAGCATAGAATTTGAGGTAATGACCTCTATCTGGTGACTCCTTCAAAATTTATGACTTTTGAAGGTTTGTGTAGCTCCTTATTTGTATTTTAATGCAGTAATACTAGATTTGACTGTATCAAGTTCAGGACTTGCTAGTAAGTGTGACTGTCTCAGGATGTTGACCCCATTCAGAGTTCTCCTCTGCTTGAGCTTGTTTAAAGCTGAACAGTCTCATCTCCCCCCTCCAATTGTCTGGCCTCACACAAAGATGCTGGGATGCAATCATGGGGTTGACCATCTGTTCTGTGCTTCCCTCATTCAGAGCAGCATCTTGACAGTAAATTTCCACTTCCTCTAATATTTGCATGTAGAATTAGTAGAAGTAGCACCCTTTCAAGAAATGGTAATTATTTTTTTTTATCCTGAAAGGAGTGGTTTTCAATATTAGGTAAAATTGAAACATGCTTTACATGAAAATCACAGAAAGCATTGAGGAGATTTTGTTTACTCACTGTATGACTGGCTCAGAAACCAGCATGCATGTTGTTTTAATTCTCAGGCTTAGTTACAAAGGCTGGTCTCACTGCTCACTGATCTTTGTTCAAGTGTGACAGATGTTACTTGGTATCTTTCCAAAGTGGTGGTAATGGACCAATAAACATGCTTTCTTCCACAAAATAGAAAGCTCTGGAAAATTTTTAAAATCCTTTTCACTTTGAGTTATAGTATCCTGTTCGGACCTTGTCTAGACTGGAGAAATTTAAGTGGTACAGTGGTAACAGTTTGAGCTGTGTTTGTAGTGAAGTTCCTATGATTACTTCTACCAGAGATTGCTACACAAAATGAGAATTAAATAAAGTTCTTACAGATGTAATCATATAGATGTGGCCATTAATTTCTTAATGAGCTTGTACAATGAAAGAACAAGCTGTTATTCAGAATATACCTGGTTTATTGTATCAATTTATGTTGAAAATAATGGTAATTTTTCAGAGGACTAATCTGATAATACTGGTTCAAGCTGTGAGACCTGATAATAGAAATTTTTGCTCTTCTGGGGTCTTAAGAGTAGATTTTGCAGAGAAATTTATGTAATTTGAACTCTTCCTCTTGAAACAAGTGCCAGCACAGCAGCAATTTGAGTTCTCAACTTGCCTTTGTAGTTAGAGAATGCTAACAAATAGCAGCTGGCTAAAACTAGGAGACATATCATGAAACAAAATCACCCAAGTTTATTAAAAAAAAATTAAAAATTGCAGTAGTTTCTTAAGTAAATGCAATGGCATGCCATAGAGGGGACAGACATACTAAATTCATAAACCTCAGCTCTTTACTGATTAAAGTACTTCTCTGTCATTATTACAACTTCAGTATTTTCTGTTAGTAAGGCATTTGTTGTGGTAATTTTTCATTTCGGTTTTGTGGTTGAACATTGTGCTCAGGCTGCTATTTGTTGTGGTAATTTTTCTTTTTGGTTTTGTGGTTGAACATTGTGCTCAGGCTGCTGCTAGCAGCTTAGGCCAGGAAAGGTCATTTCTGGATGTTCTGGGAAGAAGGTAATTAGACTGTATCTAGAGAGGCTTTTACATGTAAGAGCAAAGGACATAATCAGTCTGCTGATCTGAAGACTAACACATCTTCCTGAAACTAGCATTACCACACCCCCCTATTGATTTCTGCTTCGCCAGAAAGGAATGTGAGCCTGTAGAGCTGCAGTCTTTGGCGATCACCAGCAGTTCGTATGACAGCCGCGTGTGCTCACCAGTGCTCTGTTTTTAATAGAGGGAGAGATGAACTCCAGGTGAATGCTATGCCCGTTGGATACCATCTCACTGATTTCCTTTCCTGAACTATAGTGTAGCACTCATCTTAAAGGGACAAAGCCTGGTTGTAACTGTACTGATTCAGTGTTATTTTAGCAGTACAGTGTTACAGACTGTGACAAACAGTTCCTGGAGCAGGAGAATTGTTTGTGAGCAAAGCCTTGTCACTTCTGAAGTACTTTTACATTCTCAGAGGCTAAACATGTTTTATCTTTTTTTTCCCTAAAAAATGTTGCCTGAGCAGTGAATGGCCATTAACCAAGTCTTTAGGATGTGCTGAATGTGTGTTCTTAGAAATTACTATTGCTTAAGGTTTCTGAACATGGAAAGCCTTGCATCCTTTTATAATTTTTTCAAATTTTTTTCCACCATCTTACTGCTGTCCCTAACAGTTTGTTGGGTTTTTTAAAAATTGTAATAAATAAAAATGTCAATATGTTTTCACTCACTTCTGTAAAACTCTTTGGGGGGGGGAGGCAGAGGAGGGGAAAAACATACTACTTTAGTGAAGGAATGAAATTTTAGAGTTGATCGTTCTGTTGTTTTCTAAGGTTTGATGAAATAAAGGAGGGAGATGTGGTGAGGCATGATGGGAAGAGATCAGATGGTTACCTGGAGCACATTTTTAAACATGCTGCGAAGGAGCTTTTTGGCATGGATATCAAAGAAATCACCTACAAAGCATTAAAGTAAGCTAGAGTTTTGTATCCTTGTTATGTAGGATAGGCTAGTTGGTGCTACAGTGAACCCTAATGCAGTTACTGCTAACCTGGATCGTTCACTGATCAGTTAGATACTATAAAACTGTACATTTGTTCCTATAAATTAGCTCCTGCTAGCTTCAACTTTATTAATAAAACTTAATAATAACCTATCCTTAAAAATTAAGTATAATTCTATTCTGAAAATTCCACCCAACTTCTACTTAATTCTGTTTAGAAACTGGAAAAGTTCACAATCTTGCGTTACCCTGGTTTTGTTCTCTTCAGAGCATCTGATTATAAACTGACACAGTTGGATCGTCCCTTTGGTAGTACAGGGGTTTACAGTGTTCTCTTTCTATCTTTATAGAAACAAGGACTTTCAAGAAGTTACCCTTGAAAAGGATGGTGAGACAGTGCTGCGTTTTGCAGCAGCTTATGGCTTTAGAAATATCCAGAACATGGTTCTTAAGTTGAAAAAAGGAAAGTTTTTATACCATTTTGTAGAAGTCCTTGCCTGCCCAGGAGGTAAGAATAATTGTGGATCCACAGTTGTTCCACACACGTATCTTGAATCTCAAAGGAAGGTTGTCTTACAGGCAGGCACTTAATTTCATTCCCTCTTAATTCTCTTCTTAATCTAAAATGCTTACTATTTAGTGAATGGTCTGGAACACCAATTACATGTGCAGGGTTGGCTCAGAAATTGATTGAGTTTTCTAAAATTAACCACAATGTTATTTGTTCTCTTCTGACCTATAAATAAGAGATAGCATGGTTCTTATGATTATTTCAAACCTCAGAGGAAATACTCTGAAATGGTGGTTGTCAAGGGCAAGGAAAGACGAGGAACATAATTAAGATCGTAAAACCATGGAGAAGCCAGAGAAAGATCGTTGACATGGTAAACCTCATTTACATTAAAATGTTGTTGATACTGGAGTCACTTTAAGTAAATACCAATTCTAGCAGCATGCGGAGGATACTTTATGTAGACAGACAACTTTTTTCTTTAGAGAAGTTTGAAAAAAAATTTCAGTGTTAATCTAAATTTTCTCTTCTCTCCCCCCCCCCAAAGGGTGCCTAAATGGTAAAGGTCAGGCCCAAACTGAAGATGGAAAACCAGATAAAGCACTGCTTAACCAGATGGAAGAAGTGTATGCTGCAATACCTGTTAGACTTCCAGAAACCAACGTGCACGTACAAAAGCTGTACCAGGACTGGCTGGAAGGCATGGACTCTAAGAAGGTCCAGGAAACTTTGCACACCAAATACAGCGCAGTAAATCAAACAGCAAGCAATCTGGATATCAAATGGTAATGAATCAAACTTGCAAAAGATTTGCTTAGGTTAGTTACAGATTCAGCACTGGAAACATTCTATGCAATCGCAGATGCTATGCACTAGCCGAGTGTATGAATGAGACGCTTCCTAATTGCGGATTATTTGTGAAGAACCATTGCTTTTTAAAAACAGAGAAGTCTTCGAAAGCCCTGGTTCCTGCCATTGTCATTTAACTTTTACTGTGTGTAATCTCCTGCATATAATGGATTTCTTTATTCAAAAACTTGATCTTGCAAGGTACATAAGCACTTTCTGCCAGGTGCAGGGAGTGTAATTCCTGATGAAGCTACTCTCTGAAGTGAAGGCTTCCCTTCACAAAATGGGCTCCCCCAAGAAGGCAAGATTATTTTACTCCTAGGTATGCAGTCCCTTTCATCATGGGAAAACAGTCATGAATTACACTATTTTTGCAGTTGCTGTGAAGTAACTTGGGATTTACTTGCCTTGCTAACAAAAAAAAACCTTTACAGGGACAAATGTGTATATGGAGAAGTGTAATGAATTTATGTATGCCTTCTATCCATATTTTAACAATTACTCAGTTCCATTCTAGTCACCATTCCTTACTGATGTAATATTTTGTAAGGAACAGAATGCTTCATATAAACTGAACTTGGGAAACAAATGCTAAATGGTTATAATGCAATCGTTCATTAAAAATAGTCCCACATAGGTTGGTTGGTACAAAAAGAGAACTTTTCTTTCAAGTTTTCTTAGAAACTTGCAGCTAGGAAGAGTGGTGCTGCTTACTTTGTCTGGCTTCTTTATGAGAGTGAAACATGCATATGCACTGTCACGTGAGCACGTGTACTACAACTCTGCTAGATGTGCTGAGCCAGACTTAGAGCACTTTTATTCTCTCATGTTTTGGTATAGAGAATACCAGATTGTTTTTTTCCTTTATCTCCATGTTGTCAGACTTCTGTAAGAATAACTTCATGGAGTGCCTCTCAAAAAATATTTAGCAATGCTTGTGAGCTCATCAAAGTTATTCTACATTGGCATCATGAATTTTGGTGCAATTTTTTTTTTTTAAGTATGCTGTAGAGGTTTCATTTAACAGACATCTTAAAGTGGTATTTGCATGCAAGCTTTTCTGCAACTTCATGAGTTGTCAGAGGGTTAGTTATTCAAGAATGAAACTACTGCCAAACTTATTCAGGTTTTCCTAGTAGCATCAACCTTGTTCACAATTAATGGCTGTTTGAAGCTAGCCAAGTTTCAGCTCTCCTTTTCCAGTCTGAAAGTGTGGATCGGCTTTTAAAGTCATTTCAGGAAGTGTTTGAATGAATCTTCTTGTAAATTTCTTAATATTACAACCGCTCGTATGAGTAAGATCTAATACTGCAAAAACCTGTGTATATTTGAAATCCGCATTTAACTTGAACACAGTGGATGGGATAAAGGCATCCGTGAAGTCAAGGCGAGTTCCTGCATTTGCTAAATAAGAGGTTCAAAAGGAGAGTTTGTAAGGAGAGTAAGTATGTTACCCTGATGACGAGATAGTTCTCTTAATGTGAAGCTGTTAGTAGGACTACAGCTTTCAATTGGACCTCCACCTAAATAACAAAACATTTCACTTTGAGGGATGTTTTCTTTCAAGTGCAAATGATTTGATTACTGTGCTACCTGAATGCACACGATGAGATTATACCCATAAATTAACCTTTGTTAGTTGTTCCTTGTTGTAATAACAACATTATACTTACATGGTGCAATATCAGAACATCTACAGAAATCTACCTCTGTACAGGAAGGGAGTCCAGAAATTGTGGGAAGACCTACGTATAGCCGAAACTTTAATAAATGTCTGCTAAAGAAAGATAGTGGGGTTGCATGAAATTTCTGAACAGATTACTTCTAGAAGCAACATCCAGCTCCTTTGGTCTGATTTTCTTTCTCTGTCATAATTTCTTCCAAAAACTTCAACGAAATTATCTTGTAATAAAGTGGTCTTGTTCTGTTTGTATAGGCATATGTTTCTATGTATATATGGTTTATAGCTTGATGGCATGTTTAAATTATATTGCTTCTGTTCTTTGTATAGTATGCTTATTTTTTTAATGTGTGTATACTGGATGAAATGGTACGAAAAACTTGTTTGCTTTTCTGATGAAATCTTCACTGAACTACACAAGAGCTGCCTTGCTATTCTGAAAGGATACTCTTGAACTGTTTGTACGACTCAAAGTCATCTTGTGTAGGTGGCACTGGTGTACATCTTCTCTTTTGCCGTTACGCTTGCCTGTTGCACTGAAGAGCCTCACTTCCTGTACTGGTGGGAGACCCCAGGAGTGGGCCAGTACGTCAAGTAAATCTGTCTGCAGTATACTGTGCTGTGTTCCCACTACAAGGGAAATTGGTGGCCCTGTGCATAAAATAAACTATTTTCAGTTGAATCCACCGTTTCTTCGATCTATTCAAGTATTCTAACCTATTGAGATAGTAGCAATGTAAAAATCTAGTAGATTATGTGTCTGCCACAGTAGTCTTCAAAAAAAAGATGAGGAAGGCATTTAACTGGGCAGCTTTTAGTGGCTAGGTGGAATGTATGTATTTTAACTATTGACTTAGAGTGACTGATACTTGTCTTTTTTTGTCAGCTTTTGTTTTATAAGACTTTTTGGAGTAAAATTGATTTTAAGCTTTTAAAGACCTTTTCTTTAAAGTGCCAGTTTAAAAGACAATAAAGTTTTTTCCCTTAACTGTAATAAGTCTTTCCCCCTCCACCTTCTTTTACTGAAATTTTAACATATATGGGAAGACCTTGTTGCAACTTCATACATAGTGAAATACTTGCCTAAGATTTGATTCTGGCTTTTAAATCTATAGTTGAGAAGTCTGTCATTGTTGACAATACGAGTTTCTAGCCACGCTTTTTGAAACTACAGCATTATTTAGTTCCCTGATATGATTTTGGCAACTAATAATTTTCATTGCTACTGCCTTTTCAGCAATGGGAAAAGTTCCTAGTGTGGTCACAGCCATAGTGCTTTACTTCTCAGTTGAATGTTGTGCTGAGACAATCTTGTCTCTAGATGATTTTTAGAAAATACTAAATTGGAGGGATTGTGGAAAAGTAACTGGAAATGTTAAATTAATTTGGAAATTGTCTTGGGGTATTATTGGCTTGAGTATATCAAGTGCTAGATACCTTGGGTTATAGTACTTTATTGTGAGACTGCTACAGCAAGGGATATGCATTGTGAAGTACTTTTGCTATGCCTTCTCCAGTAAGTTTGCCTCAGCCACAGCACCTTGTGTTTGTCCACTATAGCTAATGAACATGGACAGACGTGGGCTATGCTATCACTTAGAATAACGGATATATCTGTTTGCAGCAGTCTCAACTGGATTATATCTGGATAATATTCAGTTACCTAGATTTTGGTGCTTTGTATTCAAATGGAGCATGACCATGACTTGTCCTAAATAAATCTTGATACTGAAATATGTATTGATTCTGTCTTATTTCATATAAAACCTTAACTCTTTAAGTACACTTTGTTCTAACATATGTGGTTGATGAATACTTATTAAGTCTGTAACAGTAATACTGTATTAGCTATTTACGAGTATTCTGGATCACAGCTACGCTTCAAATTGTGATGGAGGAGAAAGTTGCTGGATAGCAGTAGGAGATGGTAGTTTGCTCTCTAGAATCGTAAAATAATATATTGGAGCATTGCAAGGCAGACAAGCATTTAGTGGCTTTAAACTTCTCGTATCTGGCAAGCATGATGTTGCTGGATGAAGCCAATCTGTGATGGTTGACCAGTTATGCTGAAGTTTACTATATATGGTTATTTAAAACACTGGTGCACAAGGAACGGTAAAAGTACTTGAGTGTAGCCTGATACTAATAAGCACAGTTGAGGAAAGGATGAAAATTAGCGCCGACATAGGAGAGGGAGGTATTTTTTTCATCAATAGGTTGTGCAAAAATTTCTTCAAGGAGTTTAACAAATATTTTCATAAATTCACTTGAAGAGTTAGCACCCTAACTTCCACAAAATAATAACTAGACCTGAAGGTGGCCTGCATGTTTTTCAAGGGACAGTAAGGAGTGGTTACCTGGCCAGAGGAAAAGGAGGAGGAGCTGATCTTCGGTTTGGCACAGAACAGACATGTTCCTGTTGCTGAGTAAACAAAGCACTAGTAAGAACAGGTTTTGGGGAGGGAAGCTAAGATGTTAAGATGTCCTTAGCTATTCTTGAAATGAAAAGTAAATAAGGAGGATTTGTGTCAGCAAAGCAGAAGTAATATCCATTTAAATTGTGCAGGGTTCAATCAGTGAGATTATACCCACTCTGAAATTGCTGCATTTCTGTCCCTATCTTGCAAGTGAATAGTTGGGTGCACCTGAAAAATAATGTCCAAATTCTGCACACTTACCTACTGAAAATCAGATTTTCCTCAGTGTGAATGACTTCCCCCCCCCCCCCCTCAAAAAAAGACTTAATATACATATGAGGCTTTGGGCAACGTGGTCTAGTGGAGGGTGTCCCTGCCTGCAGCAGGGCGGGTGAAACTAGATGATCTTTAAGGTCCCTTCCAACCCAAACCACTCTATGATTCTATGATATAAACCAACAGTAAAATATAATGAAAGATGTTGTTAAATTGTAGTAAGAACTACTGGAAAAAACAAAGTCTTATTTGATCTCTTTGTCAAATGTATAGCTGTTTATTCAATTTAAGAAAATCAGAAGTAGTGTGATTTCGTGCAGGTCAAGGAAAACCCTTTGGCATTCAGCTCCTCAGATTTTACACCTATTTTGGTCTGTACCCCGCTGTGCTGCACTTTGTTTTTCACTGTGAGGGGTGGTTATATATGCTGTCCGTGCAAAATTTAGCTCTTCTATAGGCACATATGTACACCTGTGTTGGGTGGCAAGGTTTTGGTAGTTGGGGGGGGCTA